TCAGGTGGGGACAGGGCAGTGAGTAGAACTTAGAGAAAGATAAAAATATGGTTTAAGATACACAGGTGATGTTAAAAGTATAATGGATTTAAACTCCCAGGAGTGGATATGGAGGAGGAGAGACAAGAGTATACAGAATGTCTGTTAATAATATTAATGCTTAATATAATGCTGAACTTTCCTTACATGACACATCAACAATAATAACGGTCAACATCTGTTGAAGCCAGATAAGCACAAGGCAGGAAAGTGAGGACTAAGCAGGCCTTAACTCACTTAGTACTAAAACCTCATAAAGTAAGTCCTACCACCTGTTATTGATTTTAAACTACATTTTGTTTTCACATGTTAATATCTATGAAATACAATGTATCTTACAATCAATGACATTGTACAGTCACTGCTAGCCAGATGGCATTTAGGATATAGATGTCATTGCCTGCACAGACACAAACTTGATTATTCTAGTCAGAAATACTGTGTGAAACAAATAAAACATTTTACCTGAGTCAAAAAGTGACTTATGAGACACTATGCAAATTTGAACAAGTTCTAGCAAAAGATTAACTAATTTATTTTTCTCCTACTTTCTTTTGAATGTATGTGTAAACAATATAGAATAAAATATGTAACCTAGCGATTCTACAAAAATGGTTTCGATCAATATAAAATATGCTTAGTGGTAGAAGAGCACTGTGTCACAGTTTGACACTGCTTCTTAGTGGTATATTAAATAATGATTGTTTTAAAATATTAGATGAAATACAGCATATTACCCAAATATACACACAGAGAGAAACTCAAACTATCTTGAAATTCTATTCAGAGAATTTGAATTTTGGAATCTGACAATTTCAAATTATAATTCTCCCACTTGTGAGTTATAAACATAGAGCACAGCACTCAAACTTTCCTTGAGTTTTTCAAAAAGCTAAAAATAATATATATCTTCCAGGGTGATAACTGAATGCTATTTTTGCAAAATATTTAATTCCAAAATATTAGGTCTTGTTTTCTATGCTTTCCTAAAATTCAGTTATTTGTGTTATAAAATAACACAATCATCCTTCTTTAGCAAATAACAAGCCCAGAGCCCAGAGATCATTTTTGGCAATTCTCTTAAAATTTTCATGTAGATAATATGTCTATGCATATACCCCTCGGAAGTGAATACCCAGGAGGGGTATTACTAGACCATATGGTATGTATTTTTCACATTGTGAGCAACTTCCATATTGTTTTCCCAGGGACTGGACCAGTCCACCTTCCTACTAACAGAGAGAATTCATCCTCTCCAACACTTGTTTCTGGTCTCTTCGATACAGGCCATCTCACAGGTGTGAGATGGTATCTCTTTGTGACTTTGATTTGCATTTCATAGTGCTAAGTGATGGTGAGCATTTTTTTTTTTTTTTCATGCATCTGCTGGCTATCTGTGTTGTGTTTAGAGAACAGCCTGTTTAGCTCTTCTGCCCATTTTTTGATTGGGCTTTCCCCCACCCCCTTATTTTGAACTGCATAAGTTCTTTTTATATTTGGAACATATGAGGGCCCTCAGATGTAGGATGTGCCAATGTTTTCTTCTATTTACTTGGTTCTCTTTGTTTAATTAATAGTTTCTTTCACTGTGCAGGAGCTTTTCTTCTCCCATAACTATATGTTTATAGTTAACAAACCCTAGGAACCTGACTATAAAGCTACAAGTAGAGGCTTGTATTTCTACTTGCAGAGGCCATAATATGGGCAGGGAATGACGGAGCAATGCACTGTGGGGACAACAGTGAAAGACAGCGTGTGCCTGGTGGTGATGGTTGGGTGGGGGTGTGCATCTGGGAGGCTTGAGCCTACACCTCTGAACCACCTACTGGGTAGTAAACCAATGTTACTGGGCAGAGTAGAGAGAACGTGCGACATTTTCACTCACATTAATCAAATACAAGATTACATGTCTTCATTGCAAGGAATAAACTCAATGCTTCGATGGGTTTTTAACCTATTAAAAACTCAAATGTCATTTAAAAACAATTACTAAGTTTGACAATATTTCAAGAGACTCCTTTGAACAAAAGTTTTTATAATGTAATAACTAAAATTGCTTGTGCCATTGAAACTAGATGTTTTCAATACCTCTGTAGTAAGAACAAGCTATCAAAATGGACTCTCATTGTTATAGTGTATTATAATATTTCTACTGATCAATAGCCACTTATTATCCCCCATTCGTAAGCACAGCCCACCAGAAAACTTTCATATTTTAATAGGTTTATCATACAAATGAGTTTGGAGTTCCTATATGAAGAGATAATTATAAAATTTAAGTCTTTTGTAGTTTACTTTTTGTGTTTTTAAGAGCTCAAGAATTCTCAGAGATGCAATTCAAAAGGCATAACATTAATAATAACTTCTGATATTAAAATTATACCACAAGAATGTACATACTTATGAGAAAAGAAAGTTTTAAATAGTTTAAAACAAAGAGGTAATATGCTTAATTGAATTAACAAAATAAATTAGGAAATGTCTAAGGATTATTGTCATTTTAAAACAGCCCTTGCATTTAGAAAGCGGTACAAGTCTGTAACAAAATCACAGACACACTTGGAAGAATCCTTTACATAATCATGGTTTACGATTACAATTAAATTGTCATCCTACTAATCACAGGGGTAACCTGAGGTTTACAATTTTTGATCTCTTAGGATTTCAGAGAAAATAACATTCTTATAAAGAAAAAAAATACTGGCCTCTTTTTCATTGGGTAATATTAGAATAAATCAAATAGATAAAACTAAAGAGAGCACCAGATTTAAAAAAAAAAAAAGCATTCTATTCAAATAAATCTACAAAAGGAATTAAACAAACTACAGTAGTATGGTTAAAAGCCTAAGGGCCTCTAGGAGGAAAATGACAATCTTTTAATAATCTAAAATCTGTGACCTAATCTCTAGTAGTCATGACAATGATGTCAGCTTTACTTAAGAGTATATCACTGCATGGATGGTTTTTGATACTTTTAGAATGATTTATTTAAGGAATTTAATACAATTAAGCTTGAGAACATTCCACAAAATATTTTTTAGGATATATTGTAACAGGACATGAATTTCTCAACAAGGCAGATTGTAGTTGGGTAGAGAAAGATAATTAAAGGCATGGTAGCATTCTTCACAGACACTACCTAGATGAAACCTTACAGAGGGGCATAGTCCTATTTAGAAGCAAGATTAGAGGGACTCTGTAACCCCTAAACCAATTCTACCTTCCTCTTCTCCCTTCCCCTACATGTGCAAGTCATTTTTTGAAAAATTCTGATTCTTGATCAAAAGATAAATCTATATTGATATTTTGAAAATTAAGATAATCCAAGTTTTTCCATGTTTCTGATTACACAAGATAAGCAACACTGAGGTAGTATATTAGCCAAAAGCAACTTGTAATTTTGAGAAGAGTGAAAATTTCTGAGTAGATGAACTATTCACAAATTTCTCAAATGTTTAATACTGTTTTTAAACCTTAATTATTACACATGAACATCCTGAGAGCTGGGGGAACTTCAAACTGGGAATTAGTTACATAGTACAACCACTTCTCTCTGGAGGAAAATGAATTCAATTAAACTACTTACCCATCTTCAGAAGTAAGGCAACAGCAAAGGTGTGCACTGACCTTTGCACAGTGCTATATTTACATAGTTGCATTTCATAATCTTTAGAACTCAGATCAGTAGACTTTGCTAGTCATAACTAGAACCAGGCTCCCTGACTGTTCTTCCAGTGACTTCTTGTCACTTGCCTTATTCCATTATGCAAGGCACTCACACCTCTTGTCTTACAACTGTTTTTCTCTTCCCAAATCTATAATTTCACTTAACAGACTACCATATCTAGAAGACTGCTGATGTCCACACAAGGTTCTACTTTGTGACAAATATTTATAGTTAATGACACCCCTTTAATTAGATTACTTTTTATCATGGGGTCATACCAAGTAAATTCTTACTGGTCACGTTATATTGGCCATGTATAAAAAATGAGGGTGACATAAAGGATTAAGATGGATACTTTATTCAAATACATTATAGATAGGCACTTAGCTTTGATAGATGCTTAAAAATAATTAATTTACTAATTCTGTATAATAGCTTTGATAGATGCTTAAAAATAATTAATTTACTAATTCTGTATAATAGAATATTCCGGATTGTTTTCAAATATAACTATTTTATATGTGGAAAAAATAAGGTAAGTAGTTACACTGCTAATTTATAAAGTGTAAAATGTTTTATACACACACACAAACATGGAACTATAAATATAAAGTTAATAATATTAATAAAAGCAGAAACTTGCTATTTCATTATAGGAGGTATAGAAGAGTAAATCTACTACACATTTATGTTCCTTAGATTATTATATTTCTTTGTTTCTTTCAATAAACTAATATACACATTAATAAATTAATACATTTATATCATCATTTGTTTGGTAAGAATATTAGAGTATTACTTATCCACTTAAGATTGTAAGGAACATACATGATAAATTCTGATATAAAATTGAAGTGCAAACATTGAGGTGCACTTCAAATATACTAAGATTATAAAATTATCCTAAAATGATCAAGATTTGATTATAAAAAATTGAAAATAAAAACAAATTTATCACTCAGCTTTTAAATTGCAACAGAAAAAGTATAAAAGAAAAATTATAACTAATTACTTAGAACTTGCAAAATTTTAATCAACACAATTAATATTTGTATCCACTATAATTCAAACACCATTTTAGAGATAGTTTGCTGGTAAACAATGCCTCTACAGATAGTGACTTAAAATAGAAACATTTCTTCCAAAGCTTAAAAGATACTAGATTTATTATTAAATCTTAATAAATAAAATTGATTTGAAATTTTGGACTAGAAAGGAGCATATAAATTAAGCAGTGGAAATCTGTATCTTTGCTCAAATCTTTAATAGAAGCATTAAACAATAGCACTGATACCTCTCTCCGCCGAGAAGCCCAGCATGTTTGTTTGATCTTCCACACCACAGCCGCCACCAGTAACAAGGATAAAAAGCAACTGTAACACAGAAGACAACAAAGTTTTGCTTATAAAATGTGAAATATGTAATGAAATGCTAATATGCAGGGACTTTAAATATGTGTAGCTGTAATAAGCATTTGCGTTGGTAAATAATTCAAGCAAAAAAACAGTACTTTAGTAGTTTTTAAAATGTCTTCAAGTAAAACCAACATATACATGAAGGGAAGATTTTTTTATATTCCTTTCTATAAATTATAGTCTATCTTTAAGATAATCTCGGTCACAGGGAATGTAAATTTATAATTTTATGGGTCTTATGGAACAACAAAAATCTACATAAAATTGTATTCAGTCATAAAATATATACATTTTACAAAGTCAAATAGTACACATATTCATTCATTTTTATCTTTATTAGCAACTATTTTTAGATATGAGATTATTCCAGGTATAAATGTGGTATTTAAATACCAGAATGGATTTTTATTTGATAAGCCACAAATCTCAATGGAAGGTAAGAATTTTCCACTGAAGGTGAGAATTAAGCTTCCCTCCTCTCTCCAGGAGGCATTTGCCAATGTCTGGAGATGTTTTTGATCAATGTAACTGGAATGGGGGTTGCAACTTGCACCTGGTCAATACAGACAAGATGCTTCTAGACATCCTGCAAAGCACAAACCTGCCTACAACAGCAAAGAAATAGCCAACCCACAGTGTCTGTTGTATGAAGTTAAGAAACCCTGACCTAGGTTAATGTTTAAATTCACTTACAAACTTGTGTTCTACACATATTAGGTGCAATATTCAATAAGCTATGGTAATGCAGAATACGCTGTCAGTCATAATTTGAATTGACAAATTTCAAAATTCCAGGTTTGTGTGCATCTGAGTCACCTGTCCCAAACCTATGTCACTGTTTATATTCCTCCTTTGTTCTGTTGTTAAAGATGATGCCATTAAAAACCCAGAGGTCAGGAGAACTGGGATACTACAAATTCATTTGTCAGAGCAAAAAAAAAAAAAAAAAAAAGCTGGTCTTCCTTAATTGATAAATCTTGCATTTATGAATGATTCAATCATAAGCTGTGCAATTTTCAACACTTTCCACTCTTGTCAAGTCTTTGGTATATTTTTTTCTCTTGACACACTTGGAGAACTTAGAACACCTTTCAGTAATGATGGCAATGGCAATAATTCTAGTCCTGTCCACTGAATGCCGATACTTCACACTGATGCTCAGATTGACTTTCATAAGAGCACTTACATAAAGGATATACTATTCTTATTTTAGAAAGAAGAATCAGTGTTCAGAGTTCCAAGTCAGTCATTTCTATGTACAGGAGTACGCAGTAAAGCCAAAACTAAAATCCGGCTACTAAAACCTTAAATTCTCCCCTCCTGACTTCTGACCTGTAGGGAATGTGACCTGCTGGCATCTGACAATAGCAGCAGTTTGGGATACTACAAATTCATTGGTCACAGCAAAAAAAAAAAAAAAAAAAAAAAGCTGGTCTTCATCCTTAATTGATAAATCTTGCTATCATCAGAATATCAGAATCCTCTTTCTATCATCAGAGGAAGTGGATTTGTTTTTTAATAAGCCAGTGACTTGATATCCTTTCCAACCTCCAAGGTATCTTTCTGGTGTTTTGTATCACTACTTTTCTAATATTTATAAACTTTTTCTGCTTTATTTTAATGTAGCTTTTCAGAAGTGCTACCTTTCCTCACAAATAAAAACAATAACCCTACTTTACTGGTCAGGAGCTTCCTCTAGTTGAAGCAAATTATCAATGTAGCCCCCTCAATGTCCATTCCCTCATAATCTAGTCTCCTTATAACCTGCCATCTGGCTTGTGTACTAATAAAAATGTCAAGCTTAACAATGATAAATGTTTATGAAACATATTCAATATTTTCAGGGGATACCTGAATCATGACTTTCTACAGATGACTTACCTTTAACAAATGACTTTTACTTCTCCATTCACAATACCAACCATCCATTTTTTTTAACTTTTTAGTTATTTATGTCATATTGGTTTACAATATTGTACACATCTTGGCGATACAGGGTCACACCTCTTTGGATGTACATTACCACACCATCCCCACCACCAAGGCACCAATCATCCTCCATCGCAGTCTACTGAGGCGACCCCCTTTGATCCCAACCCTCTCCTCCTCTGGTAGTTTCAGTTCTGCAGTCAGAGTCCAAGTGTGTGTTTGGGGTTCAGGTCATCTGTTCTTTTCCTTATTTCTTTATATGCTACATTGGAGTAAGATGATTCCCAATCACTGGTCCTTTGACACCTCTTCTGTAGATACTATTGTCTGAATTTTCTTACACCCTTCCTGACATTCAGGGCAGGTGGGGTGTGTTGCAGTTTCACCCTTTTAAATCTTGGGCATTCCTTTAAACTCATTTCTCAAAACTGTGTTGTTATTATCCCTTGTGCTCAAAGGAAGGGCTCAGCTTTTCTCATAGTTTCAACTTGACCTTATGTGGAACAAATTCCAAATCTATATCATTAAACCTGCCAAAATGAGAGTGTTCTATTATTAAAGGGATCTAAGAGATTATTTGGTTCAAGCTCCCTCCCAGGAAAAAAATTCCCAGCACAGCTTTATTAGTGATCTAGCCCCTAATTAAATACTTATCATAGCTGAGAAGCGGCTGACTCACAATCCATGCATTCTATTTTTAGCTAAATCAAACTATGAAAATGTTCTATTAAACTGTCCTAACTTTTCTCAATCAGAGCTGCTTCTTCTGTCTCATGGGTTAATTATACTCAACAAGTCAATTCCTTCTCGTATATGCCAAAACGTCTTTATATATTTGAGGAAGTTGACGTGATTCCCTCTAGTCCAGAGTTTGGCACAATCAGAAGAGCTTTGTTCTCTCAAGGACATTTGTCATTGTCTAGAGACAATTTTGGTTGTCACTACATGGTGAACATCTAGCAAGATCCTGGGAAGCATTCTATAACAGTCCTGCTCACCCAGCCCCACCCCAACAGAGATTTTTCCAACCCGACATGACAATAGTATGAAAAGCCATATCTACTGGGAAATCCTGTCTCAGTGGTTACACTTCCATTGTTACACCCACATTAACACTGTAACTATCAAGTATGGTTCTGAGAATTGATACTCTAGATAGAGTCTAGTAGTCCATTTATCTGCATTTCAGTCTTACCAAATACCATTACGAATTTGAACACAAGAAATAATATCAGCTCAAACCTACTAGGTCCAAACTGAACTCGTGAAAGCATTCGTAATAATAAAAGCAGCTCTGATTTGCTGATTTATACATATCAAATGCAGTGTGACGCGCATAATTACATTAATTACCACAGCCACACTCAGTATACCTGTATGCTCTTATGCACTCATTTAAAAGATAAGAAAGCTGACTCATGGAGAGGTTAAGTAAATTGCTCAAATTACAGAAATATTAAGTTTCACGGTCTTGCCTTTCCCCTGACTTGTTTCATCATTAACTTCCAGCTAAAATGTAAAAACACATGACATTTATCATCCCTTAGATTCATTCATATATCAAATTCTGTGAATGTTTTCTTTCAGAACACCTGCAAGAGTAGCTAACATATTCAGTATTCATTTCAGAACATAAATATATAACATATTTTTATTTGATGAGCTACACTAACCCCCCAAATAAATGGTTATATAATATAGATTCAGTTGAAGGTAGTGAAGACTTACTGAATCTTCATGGAGAACCTAAATTCATTGTGATTTAAATTTTGTGACTCAAGAGTGTCATTTTTATAACCTAATTTAAATTAGCATAGAAAGCATTTGTTCAAGCCCCTAAAATATTTATCTCTTCTCAATATGATAAAACCTGAAAATTTTTATTCTGACTTTTTGGACATTGAATGAGAAGAAACTTCTACTCCAAAAATTATGGGTTTATTTGTTCCAGTTAGCTTTTCTCTAATTTATTTGTGAAGTCAAATGTTTTAATGGGCAACCTCAAAGTCAACATTCTTTAATGTATAATGTGGCAATTTTTTCAGAAAAAATATTTAGTTCCACTACTCTCTTTCAGAATCTTTCAATATATTACATAACAGTTGTCACACCTTCTTGGTATAGACACTGAAGTAGGGAGAGGACATTTGGGATTTCATTTTTTTAAACCTGCTTTATAACAGTGCCAGGAGATCTCAAATGTTTGACATCATGCAGTAAAAGTGCCACAGGAATTAAACAAACACACACACACACACACACGCACACAGAAATGTGAGGAGAGGTATTTCAATAACAATTTTAGCCTTTATAAAGTGGTCATTATGGACAGGGTTATTAATGTGACAAAATATAAAGCTCGTTAGTATTCTCATTTAGAGGATATTAAAAAGAATCCAGTGAAAATAACACAATGCAACATAAGGTTACATTGTAAAGCAGGTTACTAGTGACAAAGAAAAAAGACGCCAGTGGTAATCTAGCTGACCAAATGCAAAAAGGAGATAATATTGTCACTATCTTAGAACAATTTGAAGTTAATTGATCATAAAATTCAAGCCTTAAATACATATTTTAAAAGTCATCATGGGTACATTAGTCATTCATTTTACTGAAAATTGTTAGAAACTAGGGAATAGTATTGAAATAAATATTATTTTAAAAAGTAATTTATCTCCTAATAACTGCTATTTCAGAAAATACCTTTCAAAGGTTGCAAAAATACCTTCTTAACACTTGAAGGATTTTTTTTCTTAACAACTAAAATGTTAAGAAAAATATCACTTAGAACGTAATAAAAACTGTAATAAAAAAGTATTTGTTTCATTGTATTGGCAAAGATAAAAAATCAACAGTTTATGTTCATGACAAACTGTTACAAGCTTTTTTGAGGACTGTTAAGCAACAGTTAAATATACCTTAAGGTGCACGATTAGTTAAGATGATTTCAAAGGCAAGTAACAGAAAACCTAATACAAAATGGAATAATAAACAGTATTGAGAATAAATGGATTTAATAATACTCCCTT